TTTTTTTTGTTGTTTTAATTTTGTTTCTAGAAAGAAAGGAAGGTTCATGGTATCTGGTGCTGTCTTCCTCCAAACATAATAAATCTGTTGAAGACATTAGATTTTTTTTTTTTCTAAAATAAAAAGCGGCTGCAACAAAAACACACTCAATGCAGTTAGAAGGAAAAGGTCAACTCGATCCAATACAGACCGTAAGTACGGTTGCGTGGTAGATTAGAGGGGATTTTTTTTTCTCTACAAACGGGAGTGTTAAAGAGTTTTGGGAGTTGAGATAACTAATATTCTTGGGGATTTTTAAAGGAGGAAGAAAACCCCAAAACAATCCCACAAACAGGGTGAGTTATTTGAGGGAAGTAAGAGGGTGAAAGCACTGTACCACACAAATCATACTTGACGGTGCACTTGGGGGGCGTTAAAGCGTAGTGCCTTTTTTGGGTTTTAACTAACCCAGGGTGGGGGAGGTGGGGAATAAAAGTGACACCATTACAGCCAAGTCTGCATTGCTTCCCCGCCCCCTCGGGCCCCCAGAGTACTGCGCTCGTTAGCAGGAGCGATGGGCCACCGACAGACCGGGAGGCAACTCGCATATCACACCGAGACACCAGAAACGCGAGGCTGAAGCTGGGGGGTGGTAGTGTGATGGTCCCTCGGCGGCTGCCTGCTTCCATCGCCATCTCGTTCTGCCGGCCCTGAGGTGCAGGGAAGGGAAAGCCCTGAGGTAAATGGGCCACCTCAGGGAGGTGCGGGGGGCTCGGCGAGGCGTTCCTGGGGGTACTCCAGCAGAGGCGGAGGGGCCGGCGGCGCGGCGCGATGTGGGGCGTGTCCGGGGCAGGGCGCGGCCCGCCCCGCTGGGTGTGTGAGGGGCGGCCCCGGCCCTGCTCGGCGGCGGCCAATGGAGCTCGGCGGCGTCACATGACGCGGCGGCGGGACCCTCTGCACTCCTCCTCCCCCCGCCCTCCCGCCACCGGCAATTCATTACGGCTTTTAGCTTCCCATCGCCGGCTAATTAAAAATACTAAGCTAAAGCTCCGGGACCGTCTGACTTGGGGAGGGAGGAGGGAGGCATAGGGAAGGGGGAGGGGGTGATAACGATAGATTGCGAGATTTGCTGAGACAATAAGGTGGGACCGATCTGTCCTGACAAAAAGGTCGTCTGCTTTATCTCCTCGGACTCTAATTACTGAATTACTTACCGCATGACTGACTAGCCCAAGCTCACAGGTTTTTTTTGTTGTTATTATTTTTCCCCCTCGAGACAGTCATTCGAAACTTATACATGCCTATGCTATTTTTTTTTTCTAATTCCTGTTTTTAAAAAGCGCTGATCTAACGCTGGTGGGGGAGGGACGGACAGACGAACGGACGGGGATAGGCACCCCCCCTCCCCGAAATTTTACTCCTGGGAAAATTTAGTTCGTTTCAGAGCACGCAGTCCTTCCTCCACTCCCACAAAATGTTTTGATAACCAGTTTATCAGATCAGTGATTTCCCCCCCCCCTCCCGCTCCTCCTCCTCCTCCTCCTCCTCTTCTTCCTCGGCCCCCCCTCTTCCCCCTCCCCCCGCCTCCCCCGCCTGTTTCCCCTCAAGTTACTTCAAGAAATCAGATCTGTCAGGACGGGCGAAAAAAATGCCACTTCCCAACTAACAGGCGGAATCCAGCCCAGATTTTCAGTCCTTTCTTCTTTTTTCCTTCCTCCCTTTCACTAATTTATCCCGATGTTAGCACATTCTGTCTTGTTGTCTTGTAACACCCGGGCGCCTGTAGATTTCTTTCGTGGGATCATTACTTACTGATCGGGATGGCTCCCAGGTCCGGGGCTGAAGACGGAGTGTGAATTTGGGGAAACATTTTTTTTCTCTCCCTGTTTTTATTTATTTTTTTTTTTAATATTATTGTGGTGGTTATTACCTCTCGGTGCTTATTCAGGAAAAGCAAACAAACAAAAAATCTGGTCCTTGATGCTTCACTTCTGAATGTGAAATATTACCTCCCAGCTCGTAAAGTTGTGAGGCACAGCATTTTTGGTTTTTTTTTTCTTTTTTTGCTTTTTTTCTTTTCTTTAAGCAAGGACGAAAAAAAACCTAGACAAACAAACAAACAAACAAAAAAAAAGGACTTCTGATCCGTGTGCCAAAGTAGGGGGAGTTATGTTATTGACCGATTTATACTGGCTGAGATGGTATTTGCTTTCTACTTCTTGATCACTTGCTCTTTAAGTAAAATGAGGCACAGAATTGTTGCTGAGACGAGTGGGAACAGCATTTTGATTTGCTGGTTTAATTAAAAATGATAAAGGATTAAAGGTAAGCATTATGCATATATATGTATAAATATTTCGGTCAGTCGACTGTTAAAAGGGAGAGATCCCTTTAAAAATCGTTTTAACTAAGCTTTGTCAAACACACACTCACTTGCGGTCACTGAGGCCACCTTGGTGCAGATCACTTAAAGTGTATGTCTTAATCAGTTTCCTGTACAGTCAGTAATACTATATTTAACAGACCTAACAATTGTGTGACCTAGGAATACATTAGAACTGCTTTTAGAATTGTTATCTTAAGGATATTTTTTTAAAGAAATAAGAATTTTTATTTCTTCTCACTTTTTTTTTATTTTAACCTATGGATTTTAATATTTTCCAGTAAACATTTGAGTTTGTAGGTTGTTGTTTTTAACAGAAGGTGTATTGTGGCAGGGGAAAATGAGGTTTCCCACTTCCTTTAACACTTTCCTCCCCCCCACCAAGAGATTAAGTGGAAGGGTGGGGTTAAAAGATAATACAGGAGAATCACAAAACTTCAAGGTTCTGGTTTAAAGCCACAAAATCCATGAAATGCACTGAAGAGTGAATCATGTGTCCTTCCTTTTCTCCTTTTTGTGCCTAGGTGGTGGTCCTAGGGGTTAGATTACAACATGTGCTCCAACAGCTAGGCACCACTTCTCTGACTGTATTTCCTGAACTTTGTGTATTTAAATAAGGTAGATAATTTTTTCTTTTTTTTTCCTTCCTTTTTTTTTGTGTTTTTTATCGACATGGTTCTTAAAGAGAGGTTGTGGATGTTGGTATACAACTAGATTAAAAGTGCTCATTATGAAACACCACAGCCACTGTCTCTGGCTTAACAAACTTAATAACATGGTAATGCTGAATGTTTTTGCTCCCCTCTACCTTGCCCCCTCTTTATTGAGTGATGTTATATCGTGGTAACACCTAGACAAGAAATACTTGACTATTTCCCTCCTCACAGGACAACTTGGATGTGGACTGCAGGTTGTGAGCCTAGACACACCTAGGGGAGGAAGACAAGAAGAGTTGAACTTAAAGAGAGAGCCCAGCGGAGATAAACGAATGTCCCCACATCTCCAAGGAAAAGTTGATCAGATTTTTACTCTAGAGATCTTATCTTCAGGATGTCATTGAACACTTCCACTGCAGGAAAAGGTGTGGATCCAAACGCAGTTGACACTTATGACAGTGGCGATGACTGGGAAATCGGTGTTGGGAATTTAATAATTGATTTGGATGCCGACTTAGAGAAGGACAGACAGAAATTTGAGATGAATAATTCTAATACCAGCAGCAGCAGCAACACCAGTTCCAAGGATTGTGGGGGTCTGGCTTCCAGTGGGGTTAATGCTACCTCAGCCTTAGCTGATGGCCTAAAATTCACTTCTGTTCAGCCCTCTGCTCCCCAGGGGAATTCCTCTCACAAAGAGACTAGCAAATCCAAAGTGAAAAGGAGTAAAACTTCTAAGGATGCTAATAAATCTCTTCCTTCTGCTGCCTTGTATGGAATTCCTGAGATCAGCAGTGGTGGCAAAAGGCAGGAAGTCCAAGGGCGCCCTGGAGAGGCAACTGGCATGAATTCAGCACTGGGTCAAAGTGTGAGCAGTAACCCAAACAGCAATAATAACAACACCAGCAACACCACCACCATAGCCTCTTGTGGGAAAAACAAAGAGGAGAAACCAGGTAAAGCCCCAGGCAGCAGAGGCTCCAAGCGGGATAAGGATGCAGGAAAATCCAGGAAGGACAAGCAGCATGACCTGCAGCAGGGCCACCCCAATGGCAGTGGGGGTGGCAATAGCCAAATTGCCTCTGGGCACGTCTATGGCTTCGGGGCCAAGGGAGGCAATGGTGGAAGCAGCAGCCCCTTCCACTGTACCTCCTCTGCTGTGGGTGAGGTGAGCAAAAGTACCCCGGATTCAGGGTTAATGGGGAACTCTGTTTTGGTAAAGAAGGACGAGGAGGAGGAGGAGGAGAGCCACAGGCGAATCAAGAAATTGAAAACAGAAAAGGTAGGATAAAGCACCTCTCCACCTCTTCTGTGTTTCCCCATGTCTATAATGAGTGTCCCATGACTGTATGTCTGGCTCCTCTGTCTTCCCTGCTGTGTATTTCTGACATGCATATGTCCTTCCTCCTTCCTTTAAAAAAAACAAAAAACAAACCAACCAAACAAAAACACTTAAAAAACCCCCAAAAAAACAAACAAAAAAAATCAACAAAACCGGCAGAGAGACCTTTTCACTACATGGATGATACTATGTTTCCAGTGTGCTGCTCTTCCTTGTGATTTCCTCTCCTGTCTTCGGACCTAGAGAACGTTTCTGTTTTGTCTGTTTTAATTGTGTTTTCTCAGAAGGAGAAACAGAGATGACCCTGACTAAGCTGTCCTAAATTTTAGCAGAGAGCAGCAGTACCAGTGGGACGGCATATGTTTGCAGGCTGGGGCTGCATAGCTCAGGCTCCAGGCACAGCAGGTCTTGAATGTGCTGACTACCACAGCATCAGCAGGCATTTGTGGCCATTCCTCTCCCAGTGTCTAAAGGAACCCCTCTCCCTTTCTCTGATCCTCTGCCTAGAGCTGAGGCTGTGCTTGGGGAGGAAACAGGAGCTGTCAGCAGAGACCAGGGTTCTGCCGTTGCACTTTGAGGAGATGCAGGATGCTTATTGTGTTGGGGTCTTCCATGGTACTGTAGCCCAGAGGCCCTAGAAGCTGGTGTAGTGACTGGGCAGAAGAAGCCAGCAGACAGGCAGTGTCTCTTGTCTTCCTGGAAGGAGGATGCTGGGAGCAGGGAAATGTACCTTGTGCTGAGAATTGTGTGTGCAAAACAGCTTTTGGAACAGAGTGGAGCCGTTTGTCTCCTGTCTGGAGTTTTCCTCTCTGAGCCATGCTGGCTCTTGGATTTGAGCTGCTTGTTTGTTGAATGGTTGAAATGTGTGAAAGAAATCAGATGGGAGTGTGTGGTTTTATTCCTTTCTATTTCAGATGCTTTCTGTCTGAATAGATGGCCACTACTCTATTATTTGGGAAAGGTGGAATGAGACCTTGTTGTCTTTTGTCAGCTGCTGGTTCAAGGGTGTTCTGGTGTTGGTGGGAGTTCAGTCCCTAGGGCAGAAGCCATCTTCTGGGTGTCCAGAGGGTGAGTGTTGGCCCAGGATTACAAGTATGGTAAATTCTACAGGTTGTTAAACAAAGAGAACCTGCTTTGCCTGAAAAATAAAGCAAACCATAACCCTCTAGATGAACAATCTCAGGCTGTTAAGATTGTGACTGTATTGTCAGGTGTTTGTCCTAAATTACCTGCTTTTACAACTTCCCCAGTGAATGTTCAGCAATGGGGAAACTTTGAAGTCGGTGTTAACTGTGTGGTCTGCAAGTGTCTGGGAGGGCTGAATGTCTCAGGGAGTGGGGAGTTATGTCTTCTGGTTACCAGCTTTTTGTATTTCAGTCATGAAGTTTGTGTAATACTAAGTTGACTGGAGGATTAGATTTGGGTGTTTGTGATAGCAGATATTTGTTAGTACTGAAAGATAATTCCAAGGGATTCTGTTCAAGGCAATGAACAAATTAAATTTCATGTTGTATGCATATTATTGCTTTTAAGATAGCATATCTGTGGATGAATTTGAATGAGCCTTATGACCTTGTCTAAATGCAGATGAGAAAACAAGATTGCTGAGTAATTCATATGTATATGCTTGCATTTTGATTTATGAAAAATGCTGATCACGGCAGAAAGGTGTCCAAAAATCTCATGTTCTCTTTATTATCTTAGTACAGTAGGCATTTACTTTTGTTGCCAATAGTCTTCAAATTGGAGTTCTCTAATCTGTTTTAACTATCTAGATAAATTGCCCTAATCCGGTCTTCACAATGGATGTGGTTAAAGAGTCAGAGCCATTTGATTGGATTCAGTGGCTGCCTGGAATGTGGGAGGTACTGCCCTTTTGCAACCCCCTTAGCCTTTTAATCTCTCAGCCAAATGTTCGCATTCAACAATTTTGTTTAGCTGGCAGTCTGAACATTTCAGTATCTCAAAGCTGCTGCCATGGCAACGGAGATTAGAGGGTGGTGTGGTTTCTCCCGTTTTTGTGTTCTTTCAACTCTGTAGTCACACAGTAAATTGTATGAAGAATCTATATACGTGCGAGTAATTTTACGTGCAATGTAAATGGGACGGCGTGCAAATTCAGAGCAAACACATATGGAGGAGTTCAGCGTCAGTGGCACACTCTGTGTGTGTGTTGTAGATGTCGCTCCAGGAGGAGGTCTGGAGCTTGCATTTCCAGCAACAGCCACTGCTGTTGGCACACACCGACTTTAATATAGGCTTTGCACACCAGAGTCGTGCAGCCTTGGCCATTGTCTGGCACAATGGTGTGCTTGCTTGCTATCTTAAATAAAGTCCCTTAGCATTTTTTCATGGCCGAGAATGTTCCCTTTTATAATAACAATAATAGTAATAATGTGTATCTTGTTGGTGATAATGGTTGATATTATGAGTCCTGCCAGTAGCAACATTAGTAATATTCAAATGTTTATGTTTGTTGATCTGCGTTAGGGTTTTTTGGTGGGTGTTTTGTGGGGGGGTTTTTGTTTGGTTTTTTTTTTTTTTTTTGTTTTTCCCAAATCGTCTTTGGAAAGAATTATTTAAAGGTTTTAGATTTGTTTTGACTGTATATGCTGGAACATATATGCTATACTTGCAGAAAGCAACTTTTATTTGTAGATAAATACATAATTTTCAGCCTACATGTTGAAATCAATGGTCAGTTATCTTACAGTTGTGCAAGACATGCCTCATGAATTTAGAAGTTTTCTTTTAGAATCAGATGAGTTCATGACTGCTGATTAAAAATCTACATGTTTTTATATGTGGCATGGAATATAATACTGCATTTGTTTACTATTTGTGAAAAGCTTGGAGCAGATTCCCAGGAGTTGTAGTCACTGTTTAGCTTTCAGAGCATGCTTCACTTCTATTTTTAGTCTATTTATTATGTTTCCTTGCTGCAGAAAGTCATGTAAAACATGATAAATTGGATCTTACGAAGCCTAATTAAATCAATGACTGTGTTCTGCTGGCTGTTTTATGCCGAAACCACAAGTATGTTGTAAAAGTTGCCACTCCCCTAATATGTGGATAAAGTTAAAGTGTGCTGTAATGTTTGAGCTATATTTGTGCAGTCCATTTTATGGCTAAGCCAACACTGACATGTCTGAATAAGTAGCTTTGACAGGTAGGCTAACCACTCCTAAGATTTTTGGTGTTAAAACCTGTCTCCATTTTCCATTTATTATCCACACTGTTTTTAGCACAGTTACTGACTGTTTGTCAGCATGAACTCATCATCTGTTCCAGCTAAGGTTTTTGTTTTTTAACAGCTGTTACATTGAAAAGTATTCAGAATAGCTACAAAATTTGCTTTGTATGCATTGTGAGGAGATTTTAGAATTAATTTAGTCATAATTAACTCTGAGATATGGGAAGACTTAATTTGGTATGTGAAAAACAGTATGTTTACATGAAATTAATGCAGAAGATACAAAGCTGTAATCAGAAGGATTTAGTTGCAGTTCTAGATGTATCAGTCTAGTGATACTTCAGGATAGAATTTTTCTCTTTTTTAGCTTCATGCTTCTCATCAAGATCGCATTTCACATTTAAAAGCTGTCTTTAGCAAATTAGCATATTGGCCTTGTGTTTTAGTGTTAGGATTTGATAGTGTTTTGTATGCCATCAGGAATCTCTGGGTGAATTTTACCTGTTGATGTCAATAATTTAAGTACATGCTTTGATTAATGATGTTATGGAGATATGCTCTTCATGTACTTTTCTTGCTGGCCTTGTGTGTAGTTTATTCACTGTGAAATAAAAGGGCAGGGAGGTCACTTGCTGTAATTAAAGAACAAAGTCTATTGTTGTTTGACAGCAAACTGTTTTGAAAGCTACATAAGGGATTTAGCTGTTAAAAACATTGATAAGTATGGGTGTCTAACAATAAGCACAGCTCAAGGTTCTTAAAGTTCTGTAGTGTTGTCTAGTAGTGTGACGGTGCTTTTTGAGCTGGGTGAAGAGGTGTTGCCCTTTGGCCATGGAAAGCTTTCCGTGTGAACCTGCTGACCTCTGCCAATATGTATGACCAGATCTTCTATTGAATTCCTCTGCAAAGCAAGAGTTAGTGTAGCACAATGGAGGCTGGTCTAGAGCATCTATCAAACAAAGTAGGGAAGCCGATAACCATATTCAGAACTACAGGAAAAATATTTCACTTTGGGCATTAGTAGTTTTATAATTTTAATAACTTCATAAATACCCAGTAAAGAGGAAAGGATTGATTGTCCAGATGTCATGAGGTTAACCATGTTCTCCATGTTAAAAGACTTTCCTGCAAGACTTTTAATTATAGCTATATAAAGACTTGCTTTTCCAAAGTAGCATTTTATAGTCCAGTAAACGAAATGTATGTTAAAAGTGCTAAGCAAAATCTCCCGTAGTCATAGAGGTGTTCAATAACCAGATTTAAGTAACATGGAAACTGCCATCTGTTTCTAGTTTTCAGCATAAGCCCAGGAATTGAAAAGCTGAGATTTGCTCATATTTTTCAAACTCTTTCTTTTTTTTTTTAATTATCATTATCATTATTTTTAAAAGTTCACCTGGCACTTTATAGAAGCTTTCTGAAATGCAGTAATACAGGAGAGACTGTGAAAACACATGTTCATACATACAGTTAACCAGTTCCACTTTCATTTAAAGAGATTTCCAGAAGCTCAGTCATTGAAAAATTTATAATAGTGAATCACCTCCTGCAGGCAAACACAATAAGGGTCAGTTCTTCCAACGTTTTGCTATTGAGGTACAACCTTATTTACTCTGTCTTTCCTTACGAAGTAAAATGAAGGGGGAAAAAAACCCACAATCACCCCAACAACAGCAATCAAAAAATCCACCCCTCAAAGGATAACTTTAGCAAGCTCTTATCAGGCACCTAATTGCATATGATAAAA